TGAGTAGTTGTCACGCTGTGTTTGTGTACAAACAACCATAACGTAACAACTGGTGGCCAGTATGGGGGAGACGATATGGTCGAGTGGTTGGGCACACGATTGCTATCCCACTCGACACGGGTTCAAATCTATGTGTTCTAGTCAGTAACGTATTCACACAACTTGTTTTTTACGAGTTGTCTTTTTACGAGTTGTCTTTTTACGAGTTGTCTTCGTTTACCCAAAAAAAAAGTGAAAAGATAAAATCGATAGCAAGATTTACATGCAAACAAACAGACAAACACTAAAAAGTAGAAAATAATAATCATTAATCTCTTATTTTCGGTGCATTTAAAAGCGTGTTGTTATAACGTTTTTTTTTTAATATATGTTTTATTAAGTTTTATATTTTAGGTTTGTATGTAGGAATCTTGACTTGTCTATTTATCAGACTTATTTGAGATGTCATTTATTTATCAGACTTATTTAAGATGTCATTTATTTACCTTTTACCTGTCCTTTACCCCTGTCCCATTTTTCAGACTGGTTTAAGGACTGCCTCCCCCCGCCCCCCGTCCAGCACGCCACCCACGACGGCGCCCCGGGTCAGTACAGGTTCCCCCAGGGTACCAACCTGCAGTACACCTGTGGCCCGGGCTTCACCGCCCAGAAGGACAGCGTGGAGAGGGCGTGGTGTGTCCCCGGGGGGGTCTGGGTGGGGCCGAACCTCACTTGTTCTAGTAAGTTGATCATTTCACTTGTTCTAGTAAGTTGATCATTTCACGTGTTCTAGTAAGTTGATCTTTTCACTTGTTCTAGTAAGTTGATCATTTCACATGTTCTAGTAAGTTGATCATTTCACATGTTCTAGTAAGTTGATCATTTCACATGTTCTAGTAAGTTGATTTTTCACGTGTTCTAGTACGTTGATCATTTTACATGTTCTAGTAAGTTGATCTTTTCACATGTTCTAGTAAGTTGATCATTTCACATGTTCTAGTAAGTTGATCATTTCACTTGTTCTAGTAAGTTGATCATTTCACATGTTCTAGTAAGTTGATCATTTCACATGTTCTAGTAAGTTGATCTTTTCACGTGTTCTAGTAAGTTGATCATTTCACATGTTCTAGTAAGTTGATCATTTCACATGTTCTAGTAAGTTGATCATTTCACATGTTCTAGTAAGTTGATCATTTCACATGTTCTAGTAAGTTGATCATTTCACATGTTCTAGTAAGTTGATCATTTCACATGTTCTAGTAAGTTGATCATTTCACATGTTCTAGTAAGTTGATCATATCACATCTTCTAGTAAGTTGATCATTTCACTTGTTCTAGTAAGTTGATCATTTCACTTGTTCTAGTAAGTTGATCATTTCACTTGTTCTAGTAAGTTGATCATATCACATCTTCTAGTAAGTTGATCATTTCACTTGTTCTAGTAAGTTGATCATGTCACATGTTCTAGTAAGTTGATCATTTCACTTGTTCTAGTAAGTTGATCATTTCACATGTTCTAGTAAGTTGATCTTTTCACTTGTTCTAGTAAGTTGATCTTTTCACTTGTTCTAGTAAGTTGATCTTTTCACTTGTTCTAGTAAGTTGATCATTTCACATGGTATAGCCTACTCGCTAGTAAGTTGATCATTTCACATGGTATAGCATACTCGCTAGTAAGTTGATCATTTCACATGGTATAGCCTACTCGCTAGTAAGTTGATCATTTCACAATAGTTATTGGTCAAATCGCACTGTGGTTTACTTCACCTTGAACGATATTAGTGACAAAGCAAAGAAATAACTAAATAGCTAAAAACTCGAGACATTTAAAATAACATAGGCTACCAATGTCTATTAGAAAAATTAAAACCAATTAGGCCTACTTATTTAAAGAAAATTATTTATTTTTTTCCTTTTGGGTGCATTATTACATAAAAGCTTGTTATTAAAACGTTTTTTACGCTATTTTTTTTCAGTTATTTAAATTTTTAAATACAATAGAAATGCTTGACTAAAAACTATTGCAGCACCAAATCAACATGATAAAGCACGTAGTAGCCTATTAATAAAATTTTAATTAAAAACTAAAAAAATTAATTAGGCATCCAATTTAGTAAAATTTAATGTCAGATTGCATTGTCTTCAAGTTTTTACCCACGTGCCAACTTTAAAACGAATCTGTCGGTTAGAAATTCCTTTAATTCCGCTCGAGCGTTTCGATCCAGAACGACTGACGATAGACAGATGAACCAAGTTAAATAAAAGCTTGTAAAAACAACCTAACACCCCTATTTTCGGAAGAGTCTATTATCTGACATCGGATTTTACCGATAACCCTGGATGAGGCTATATACGAACGAGGGGAACACGGTGGTCAAATGTTGAGATACATTTTAGATCCAGAAATAAATTAGAAACAAAATCAGACTCAAACAAAACCTGATCTCTATTTTTATCCTGCCACCAGCTTCTGGCTGCCCCGACCCCCCCAACATCCCCAACGGCTATGTGAGGGTGAGCGCTCAGAGCGGCCTTGACAGTAGGGTGACCTACACGTGCAAGACGGGATACGTGCCCGTGGGGTCAGAGGTCAGGACCTGCCTCAAGGACGGCACGTGGGACGGGGTGGAGCCCCAGTGTGTGCAAGGTCAGTCACGTGATTTTTTTTCTTTCAACTTCGTCGATAAAAGTTTCAAAAAAGTTTCTGTATACAGTTTTATAAAGCAACTTCAAGAAAATGTCTAGCCTAACTTATTAAATGAAAGATGCGAGTTAAACGACGACTAACGATACCCCCCCCCCCCCTAGTTGCCTGTGGTCCCCCGCCCTTTATTGAAAACGCTGACCACGACCTACCCAAGGATCAGATGAAGTTCATGACCGGCACCCAGCTGACCTACCACTGCAGGTTCGGCTTCTACAGGGAGGGGAGCAACATGGCTATCTGTAGCGGTGCTGAGGGCAAGTGGATAGGGCCCAATATGTCTTGTAAAGGTCAGTCTGGTGGGGGTGGGGTGGGGGAGGGGGGGGGTGTGGGGGTGAGGGCAGGTGGATAGGGCCCAATATGTCGTGTAAAGGTTAATCTGGTTGGGGGGGGGGGGGGTGAGGGGGGGGGGGTGTGGGGGTGAGGGCAGGTGGATAGGGCCCAATATGTCTTGCAAAGGTCAGTCTGGTGGGTGTGGGGGTGAGGGGGAGGGGGGTGAGGGCAAGTGGATAGGGCCCAATATGTCTTGTAAATGTCAGTCTAGTGGGGGGGGGTAGTAGCGTAGCGAGGGGGGGGGGGGGGCGGGGGGGGACATATGTCCCCGGGCGCCGACCTTAGGGGCGCCAAAATGGGTTGGAAAAATAAATCGAAAGTTTGAGGGGGGGTGCAAATCGAAATGTTTGTCCACGGGCGCCGGGAAGGGTCGCTACGCCTCTGGGGGGGGGGCAAGTTGTTCAGGTCAAATATTTGAAATATTTTGGTCTAAAAACATGTCATCCAGCCTCTGAACTTTGACCTTGACTTTCAGCCCGAGACTGCGGGGACCCAGGGGAGATCGCCCACGGCTGGCGTGACCCAGGCTACAGGTTCGTGTACCCCACCCGTGTGACGTACCACTGCTCTGAGGGCTACGAGCTGAGGGGGAGGCCGTACAGGGAGTGTAAGGCCAACGGCGAGTGGTCAGACGGGAGGCCGGAGTGTGAACGTGAGTAGGGGCAGATGGGGGCAGAGGGGGAACGTGAGTAGGGGCAGATGGGAGGGGCAGATGGGGGCAGAGTGTGAACGTGAGTAGGGGCAGATGGGGGCAGGGTGGGAACGTGAGTAGGGGCAGATGGGAGGGGCAGATGGGGGCAGAGTGTGAACGTGAGTAGGGGCAGATGGGGGCAGGGTGGGGACCTGAGTAGGGGCAGATGGGGGCAGAGTGGGGACCTGAGTAGGGGCAGATGGGGGCAGAGTGGGAACCTGAGTAGGGGCAGATGGGGGCAGAGTGTGAACGTGAGTAGGGGCAGATGGGGGCAGAGTGGGGACCTGAGTAGGGGCAGATGGGGGCAGAGTGGGAACCTGAGTAGGGGCAGATGGGGGCAGAGTGTGAACGTGAGTAGGGGCAGATGGGGGCAGGGTGGGAACGTGAGTAGGGGCAGATGGGGGCAGAGTGGGAACCTGAGTAGGGGCAGATGGGAGGGGCAGATGGGGGCAGAGTGTGAACGTGAGTAGGGGCAGATGGGGGCAGGGTGGGAACGTGAGTAGGGGCAGATGGGGGCAGAGTGGGAACCTGAGTAGGGGCAGATGGGGGCAGAGTGGGAACCTGAGTAGGGGCAGATGGGGGGGGCAGATGGGGGCAGAGTGTGAACGTGAGTAGGGGCAGATGGGGGCAGGGTGGGAACGTGAGTAGGGGCAGATGGGAGGGGCAGATGGGGGCAGAGTGTGAACGTGAGTAGGGGCAGATGGGAGGGGCAGATGGGGGCAGAGTGTGAACGTGAGTAGGGGCAGATGGGGGCAGGGTGGGAACGTGAGTAGGGGCAGATGGGAGGGGCAGATGGGGGCAGAGTGTGAACGTGAGTAGGGGCAGATGGGGGCAGGGTGGGAACGTGAGTAGGGGCAGATGGGGGCAGGGTGGGAACGTGAGTAGGGGCAGATGGGGGCAGAGTGGGAACCTGAGTAGGGGCAGATGGGGGCAGAGTGGGAACCTGAGTAGGGGCAGATGGGGGGCAGAGTGGGAACGTGAGTAGGGGCAGATGGGGGCAGAGTGTGAACGTGAGTAGGGGCAGATGGGGGCAGGGTGGGAACGTGAGTAGGGGCAGATGGGAGGGGCAGATGGGGGCAGAGTGGGAACCTGAGTAGGGGCAGATGGGGGCAGAGTGGGAACCTGAGTAGGGGCAGATGGGGGCAGGGTGGGAACGTGAGTAGGGGCAGATGGGGGCAGAGTGGGAACCTGAGTAGGGGCAGATGGGGGCAGGGTGGGAACGTGAGTAGGGGCAGATGGGGGCAGAGTGGGAACCTGAGTAGGGGCAGATGGGGGCAGAGTGGGAACGTGAGTAGGGGCAGATGGGGGCAGAGTGGGAACATGAGTAGGGGCAGATGGGAGGGGCAGATGGGGGCAGAGTGGGAACATGAGTAGGGGCAGATGGGAGGGGCAGAATGGGAACGTGAGTAGGGGCAGATGGGGGCAGAGTGTGAACGTGAGTAGGGCAGATGGGGGCAGAGTGGGAACGTGAGTAGGGGCAGATGGGGGCAGAGTGGGAACCTGAGTAGGGGCAGATGGGAGGGGCAGATGGGGGCAGGGTGGGAACGTGAGTAGGGGCAGATGGGGGCAGAGTGGGAACCTGAGTAGGGGCAGATGGGGGCAGAGTGGGAACCTGAGTAGGGGCAGATGGGAGGGGCAGAATGGGAACGTGAGTAGGGGCAGATGGGGGCAGAGGGGGAACGTGAGTAGGGGCAGATGGGGGCAGAGGGGGAACGTGAGTAGGGGCAGGAGGGGCAGAGTGTGAAAGTGAGTAGGGGCACAGGGGGGGGGGGCAGAGTATGAGCGCATAGTCAGAGGGGTGAGAGATAAGTATGTCAGGACTCAAAAGGCTGTTGAGTGCCATGGGAATTGAAATAATTCGCAATCTTCCAAAATATTTTATTATGGCCCTTGCTATAATCCCCCCCCTCTTTTACCAGCCATCAACTGTAACGAGGTCCAAGCTCCCATCCACGGCTATCTGTACGGCTCTAGTACAACCTACGGCTCCATTATCAAGGTCACGTGCAAAAGTGGGTTCAAGGTCGTTGGCTCGGCGGAAAGGTCATGCCAGTCAGACAGGACATGGAGTGGTCTGGAGGCAACATGTGAAGGTAAGTGTACAGGTAGCAACATGTGAAGGTAAGTGTACAGGTAGCAACAGGTGAAGGTAAGTGTACAGGTAGCAACATGTGAAGGTAAGTGTACAGGTAGCAACATGTGAAGGTAAGTCTACAGGTAGCAACAGGTGAAGGTAAGTGTACAGGTAGCAACATGTGAAGGTAAGTGTACAGGTAGCAACATGTGAAGGTAAGTCTACAGGTAGCAACAGGTGAAGGTAAGTCTACAGGTAGCAACAGGTGAAGGTAAGTGTACAGGTAACAAAGTGTAAAGGTAAGTGTACAGGTAGCAACATGTGAAGGTAAGTGTACAGGTAGTACATGTGAAGGTAAGTGTACAGGTAGCAACAGGTGAAGGTAAGTGTACAGGTAGCAACATGTGAAGGTAAGTGTACAGGTAGCAACATGTGAAGGTAAGTGTACAGGTAACAAGATGTGAAGGTAAGTGTACAGGTAGCAACATGTGAAGGTAAGTGTACAGGTAGCAACATGTGAAGGTAAGTGTACAGGTAGCAACATGTGAAGGTAAGTGTACAGGTAGCAACATGTGAAGGTAAGTGTACAGGTAACAAGATGTGAAGGTAAGTGTACAGGTAGCAACAGGTGAAGGTAAGTGTACAGGTAGCAACATGTGAAGGTAAGTGTACAGGTAGTAACATGTGAAGGTAAGTGTACAGGTAACAAGATGTGAAGGTAAGTGTACAGGTAGCAACATGTGAAGGTAAGTGTACAGGTAACAAGATGTGAAGGTAAGTGTACAGGTAGCAACAGGTGAAGGTAAGTGTACAGGTAGCAACAGGTGAAGGTAAGTGTACAGGTAGCAACATGTGAAGGTAAGTGTACAGGTAGCAACATGTGAAGGTAAGTGTACAGGTAGTACATGTGAAGGTAAGTGTACAGGTAGCAACAGGTGAAGGTAAGTGTACAGGTAGCAACATGTGAAGGTAAGTGTACAGGTAACAAGATGTGAAGGTAAGTGTACAGGTAGCAACAGGTGAAGGTAAGTGTACAGGTAGCAACATGTGAAGGTAAGTGTACAGGTAGTAACATGTGAAGGTAAGTGTACAGGTAGCAACATGTGAAGGTAAGTGTACAGGTAGTACATGTGAAGGTAAGTGTACAGGTAGCAACATGTGAAGGTAAGTGTACAGGTAGCAACAGGTGAAGGTAAGTGTAAAGGTAGCAAAACTTACAAATGTCATAATACCTCGGGTAAGAATGACATATGACATTTATGCCATGTTTCAGAGATCAACTGTGGCAACCCAGGACCTCTACACAACGGTTATCTTGACGGTCATTCAACAACAGTAGGAAACATTTTACACTTCAGGTCAGCCAATGGCAGCATCTGTACCTTGTAGTTTGATTTCCTTCAGCCAATGGCTGCATTCGTCTCTTGTAGTTTTATTTTACTTCAGCCAATGGCAGCAGCCGTCTCTTGTAATTTGTCTTTTAATATGGGTTTAATGAAGGAAAACGACTGGTTTTGTCAATAACATTTTTTAGTGTCTACCATTCGTAATCTAGATTTTGATACCTAATTAAAAAGCGATAAATATTTTTACTGACCATTTTGTAACGAGCAAATTAAAAAAAGCAAATTTATTGCTTGACTCGAGAAAATGAAAAACTTTTTTGGAATGAACTTTGTACCTGCTCTCACCTGATTTTGTATCTGCTCTCACCTGCTCTCACCTGATTTTGTACCTGCTCTCACCTGAAACTCCAGGTGCCGGGAGAGGACGAGGTTTAACGGTACATCGTTTTCCACGAGGTGTTTGGAAAATGGACAGTGGTCAGACCCTTTGCCCAGGTGTCTAGGTGAGTAGTTCAAACTCCTGGCTAAATCATGTGATCGTAAAACTAAGGGCTGACGTTTAGAATAAATACGACAAGTATGTCTAAGTTGGACGTTAGGTTGTTGTTTTTGCTCTGTTTACTTTTATGTTGCTGTTGCTTACAACTGGAATACCCACCTGATCCTGTAATGACGTAACTAACCTTTGACCCCCTGTGTTCCCAGGTCAATGCCCCCTGCCCTCTATTGAGAGCGGCTCCATCCCCAACGTCAAGGAAGGCATGTACGTGGACCACGGCTTGGCCGTTCACCCCAAGTGTCACAACGGTCTCGTGCTCAATGACCTTCAACCTGTCACGTGTGACAACGGCACATGGACACACATCCCTAAATGTGTACCTGGTAGGTTATACGACACACATACCTAAATGTGTACCTGGTAGGTTATATGACACACATACCGAAATGTGTACCTGGTAGGTTAACTGATATCAAATTATACCCATTGAAAGAGCATATCTGGACACAGTCAGATATCAATGACGTATACAAAGTTATAAAGATTCTAGGAAGCAGATGGTGTAGAGTTTATCTGCCTGCCAGATGTACAAACTTGAGCACCGGCACCAAAAGTGGCAACCTCCCATCTGTCAACCCTGACCAACCCAGCCCCTTTTTTTGTCAACCCTGACCAACCCAGCCCCTTTTATTCCAGCGCCCTGCAGAGACCCGCCCCCGCCCATCGAGAACGGGCACCGGACATTCTTCCAGCAGAGCCACGGCACCCGTGTCCGGTACTTCTGTATGGCCGGCTACAAGCTGGCGGACGGTCACCGGTTCATGGTGTGTGAGTTTGGTCAGTGGAAGGGGCAGCTACCCGTGTGTGTAGAGAGTGAGTAGAATTGTTGCCACACTGAGTTAGAGATGTGCATAGATTCAAAGTTACACAGACAAGCGTTTTAAAACAAAATTAAACAGCTTAGCTAAACTCAAATAGGTTTAAAACAACGTTAATTGATACACATAGCTTGTAGAGCTCAAATAAACCACACTTAAAACTTCGATTTATTTTCTCTTGGTGTAAAACTCATCACTAAATTAACTATTTCTTAGTCAATGATTTAAGAGGCATTCGCTTTTTTTAAAAAGGCATTTCCTAGATGTTGAAAACTTTCAATACATAAAAACGATTATAGGTTATAAGTTATATGACATGAAAATATGACCACAACCAAACGAAACTTACAAGGCCCTTAACTCTCCTTTACAACCACACTAACAAGGGCCTTAACTCTCTTGTACAACCACACTTACAAGGGCCTTTACTCTCCTGTACAACCAAACCAAACGTCCAAGGGCCTTAACTCTCGTGTACAACCAAACTTACAAGGGCCTTAACTCTCCTGTACAACCAAACTTACAAGGCCCTTAACTCTCCTGTACAACCACACTTACAAGGGCCTTAACTCTCCTGTACAACCACACTTACAAGGCCCTTAACTCTCCTGTACAACCAAATTTACAAGGCCCTTAACTCTCCTGTACAACCAAACTTACAAGGGCCTTAACTCTCCTGTACAACCAAACCAAACTTACAAGGCCCTTAACTCTCCTGTACAACCAAACTTACAAGGGCCTTAACTCTCCTGTACAACCAAACCACACTTACAAGGGCCTTAACTCTACTGTAAAACCAAACTTACAAGGCTCTTAACTCTACTGTAAAACCAAACTTACAAGGGCCTTAACTCTCTTGTACAACCAAACTTACAAGGGCCTTAACTCTGCTGTACAACCAAACTTATAAGGGCCTTAACTCTCCTGTACAACCAAACCAAACTTACAAGGGCCTTAACTCTCCTGTAGATCTATGCGAGAATCCTGGCCAACTTGTCAACGGCAACATCTACAAGGTCGGCAAGCACGGCAAGTTCCAGTTCCGTGAGTACATCTTCACCATCCGGCACGGTGACCGGCTGGTCTATGAGTGTAGCCGGAACTACAAGTTGATCGGACCCAGGGGTGCGGCGTGCGTCAACGGCAAGTGGAGCCCCCAGGAGAAGCCCGTCTGTGAGAAGTCGAGCCACCCCCTCTTCACCAAACTCTGGAAACCTTACGAGGAGAATGGCAGCTCTAGGGGCAATTTGTTTTATTAATTAGGTCAAGGGAAATGTATTGTTTTAATTAGGTCAAGGAGAATGTATTGTAGTAATTAGGTCAAATGAAATAAATTGTATTAATTAGGTCATTGTGAATATATTGTATTAATTAGTTCATGTGGGATATATTGTATTAATTAGGTCATGGGGAATGTATTCAGTAACTAGGTCAAGGGGAACACTTTCTTCAAACACGACTTTTATAATTATAAATCAAAGCTTGTAAAAACAGAAAGTTTTCCGTGACTAATATCTCAGCTGAGATCTTAAACCGTGAAATTCTTTTTCTCCTTACATTAAAATTTGTTTTATCTATTTAAAAAAAAAACGCGAAGTTTAAAAAGAATTGTAATTGTCTTGTGAAAATTGTCAGCATTCAGCCTTTTTCTACTGGCATTGTTTACTTTTTTTTTCTTTTAGTTTTTTTTTATTCAAATTATCAAATCAATATATGTAACGTATTTAACTTGTTTTATTTTTACATTTGAAATGAGTTATGAATACTCTGTAACTAGTGTATGAACTAGGGTAGTGTTTAGTTTTAGGCGTCCTATGCAAGTGATTCATGCCTTTTAGAGACATTTCAAAGCTACATCTAGATCTGTACTTGTTAGATCTAGATCGACATCTATACTTGTTAGATCTAGATCAACATCTGTACTTGTTAGATCTAGATCTACAAGATAGCACCTCTATAAGCTCTCTGCATAGAAAATCATTAGTTCGTGGTTCACTTTTACAATTAGCTCGCACCGAAAAAGTGTACAATTAGTGCGCACCGAAAAAGTGTACAATTAGTGCGCACCGAAAAAGTGTACAATTAGTGCGCACCGAAAAAGTGTACAATTAGTGCGCACTGAAAAAGTGTAAAATTAGTGCGCACTGAAAAAGTGTACAATTAGTGCGCACTGAAAAAGTGTAAAATTAGTGCGCACTGAAAAAGTGTACAATTAGTGCGCACTGAAAAAGTGTAAAATTAGTGCGCACTGAAAAAGTGTACAATTAGTGCGCACTGAAAAAGTGTACAATTAGTGCGCACTGAAAAAGTGTACAATTAGTGCGCACTTTTCCTCAGTCAAAATGTTGGTGCGCACCTCTATCAATCACTGGCAACATCTACAGCTAGTAAACTCACCATTCCAGGTCATCAACCTCACATTTTAATCAACCTTTCAACATTTTAATTAACATCACATTTTAATAAACCTTTCAACATTTTAATTAACATCACATTTTTAATCAACCTCACAAAATTTAATTAACATCACATTTTTAATCAACCTCACAACATTTTAATTAACATCACATTTTTAATCAACCTCACAACATTTTAATTAACATCACATTTTTAATCAACCTCACAAAATTTAATTAACATCACATTTTTAATCAACCTCACAAAATTTAATTAACATCACATTTTTAATCAACCTCACAACCAAACATAACCCCGAGCTTAGATTAGCCTTTAACCTAAACCATAAACCAAACATAACCCCGAGCTTAGATTAGCCTTTAACCTAAACCATGAACCAAACATAACCCTGAGCTTAGATTAGCCTTTAACCTAAACCATAAACCAAACATAAGCCCAAGCTTAGATTAGCCTTTAACCTAAACCATAAACCAAACATAACCCCGAGCTTAGATTAGCCTTTAACCTAAACCATAAACCAAACATAACCCCGAGCTTAGATTAGCCTTTAACCTAAACCATAAACCAAACATAACCCCGAGCTTAGATTAGCCTTTAACCTAAACCATAAACCAAACATAACCCCGAGCTTAGATTAGCCTTTAACCTAAACCATAAACCAAACATAACCCTGAGCTGGAAGGTTGTGACTAGTACACAGTGGCGTCGCTAGGTCGGGTGTCAACCCCCCCCCCCCCCCCCCCGGCGACGCCTCTGCTAGTACATCTTGACGTTGAAGGACGTATTACAAATGTAAATAGAAAAATGATTTTATAAAATATACTTTTTATATTCCATGTATTATTTATTATACATTTCTTGTATATAAACTTAACTATTGTATATAAACTAATTCTAATTTTGTGAAACTTCGAGTAGTTGTTTAGCTTTTAAAACATGAATAGTTCTAGAAATTATTAGTGTTGATAAGTATTGTTGTTTCATTATTTAAAATGGTAAGTAGATTTAGCTACATAAATATGTCAAAGTTACTTGTATGTCTTATATATGCGATACATACCACCCATTTTTTAGACCAAAATGTTCAATTAGTTTCTTCACATTTGTACATTTTAGCAGCCTTATAATCTCGATAATTGCATTTTTTTGTTTATAGATTCTGGTGTTCAAATATGGTTCCATTTTTAATCGGTATATATATATATATATATATATATATATATATATATATATATATATATATATATATATATATATATATATATCACGATTTCTTCATTCGAATTTTGAATGTCAATATAAATCACTGGAGAAATGGACGACACCATCCATAACTAACAAACATTGACAAAACATGAACATTGACAACGAGAACATTGACAACAAGAAACTTGACAAACATTTTCTTCAAACCTGTCAACATAAATGACATCCATTGAGACCCCACCATTTCATACAAACCTCCATAGACACCATCACCACTACTGCTACAACCCACAAACCTACCACCATCTCTACACACCACATCACCATCTCTACAAAACACAGCAACATCACAACCAACACAGCAACCGACTTAAAAAGCGAGCAAAACTCCCGTTGGAAAATGTCTAACTGCAAAGATGGTGGCACTAATTAGAGCGAGTAAATTAAATTTTTATTTCCAAAGTTTACATCTTCTGTTTTTGTAACCAGTTCAAAGTTGAACTCGACTAAAACACGAAGTACACCATAGTACATACATCAGTAACAAATGTTGAAATAGTTGATACATTAAACGTAAATACATCAGTAACAAATGTTGAAATACTTGATACATTAAACGTAAATACATCAGTAACAAATGTTGAAATACTTGATACATTAAACGTAAATACATCAGTAACAAATGTTGAAATACTTGATACATTAAACGTAAATACATCAGTAACAAATGTTGAAATACTTGATACATTAAACGTAAATACATCAGTAACAAATGTTGAAATACTTGATACATTAAACGTAAATACATCAGTAACAAATGTTGAAATACTTGATACATTAAACGTAAATACATCAGTAACAAATGTTGAAATACTTGATACATTAAACGTAAATACATCAGTAACAAATGTTGAAATACTTGATACATTAAACGTAAATACATCAGTAACAAATGTTGAAATACTTGATACATTAAAGGTAAATACATCAGTAACAAATGTTGAAATACTTGATACATTAAACGTAAATACATCAGTAACAAATGTTGAAATACTTGATACATTAAACATAAATACATCAGTAACAAATGTTGAAATACTTGATACATTAAAGGTAAATACATCAGTAACAAATGTTGAAATACTTGATACAGAACATTATGAACATTGCCTTACCTTCTACCATTGAAAGAACTAGTCATAATAAAACTCAATGTAATCGAAATCTTGTTTGACTTTTATTTTTTATCGTGTGCTTGTATCGTGTCTTTGTAGCTAATATATATATATATATATATATATATATATATATATATATATATATATATATATATATATATATATATATATATATATATTTATATATGTATGTATGTATATATATATATATATATATATATATGTATGTATGTATGTATGTATATATATATATATATATATATATATATATACATACATACATATATATATATATATATATATATATATATATATATATATACGTATTTACATATTTTTTTTTATGTATTTATTTCTTTTTATTAACATATTAACATAACAAATGATCACAGACAAAATATCCCCCGACAAAAGATCTCAGTGAGCCATGTTTATGTCGGTGGGAGAGAGAGTGAGCGTGTGTGTGTGCGTGCGCGCGCGCGTGTGTGTGTGTTTGTGTGAGTGCGTGTGTGTGTGCGTGTGTGTGTGTTTGTGTGTGTGGCCCCGTCCTAACGCCAACCACCCATAATTTCAGGGAATAAAAAAGATCTTCCCATCCACCCCTCAACAAATGTTTTTATCTGACGTCATCAGTTTGTGAGCTCACGTTCGTGGCTATTACACTACCACCACACCTACTCTATAAACACATGTAAAGATTTTGTTTAACGTCCAAATGATGTCTTGTCCCGTCCACCCAACTCAAACCTAAGATCAAATCAAATATTTTCTCCTTGTTTGGGCTGCTTAAAGTCAGACAGAACGAGGCAAAACAAATAGGTTTTTGTGTAAAACTTTTGTACCCAACTCGATGTTTAAAAACATGAACTTTTGTGCCTAGTAAAACATGTACTTTTGTGCCAAGTAAAACATGAACTTTTGTGCCCAGCTTCAAATCAGATCATCTCCCCTTCTTTAAAAAAAAATGTCTGAAAATTGGGACAGTTTGAAGAAGGTAGGAAACCTTTGAACTTTCAAAAAATTGACCATCAAAAGAAAGACATGGCGGATAGCCAAAAAACAAGAACTTTTTTTTAAAATAACAACTTAGCTTAAATTATTTAGGGAAGAGGTTTCAAATGTACACATAGTTCCAGATCTTTCTGTAATCTGTTGTGGCTGTATCCCTGACACATTTATACACAGCAAGGGCAACAACTCAACAAATAAATTAAATTTATTCTCATTTTATTTTGCAATATACATTTTTTTTTAACTTTTTGTAGACATTTAATGCAACAAAAATGTTTTACAAATGAAATATATTTTCGTACATATAAACATTTAATCATAAAACATATTGTATTTGATCATAGTTAAATTTACATTTGATATTTATAAGATATTATGCTTGCAGTTTCGTAAAAGTATATTTGACCATTTTGAAATTCTTAATTATTGTCTATCATGTCTTTAACTGACAGAAAATATTAACAAAAATCATTTTAAAATCGTCTTATCCATTACTCTCATAAAATGACTTAAATAAATTTATATACGTTAGTTCTCAGGGAAAACGGTTTAGATCTATCTTTCAAACTCTAAACCTTTTATTTTTAACATTTTCAAATACTGGTTCGGAAATTTTTAACGATTATTGTACAAAACATTTGTCATACGCCGTATTTGATAATCCTAAAAACATTTTATCACTGTAAAATATGTTATGAATTATGAACTCAATGATTTAAATTTATCTGTACTTTAAAATAATGCTGTGTCGGATTGTTTAAATCTTGTAGTTAAACTAAAATAATTTTGTGTTTGATCTAATTCGCTAGATCGGTGTAAAACAGTTTCTGTCATTCTAAACATTTGTGACCACGCTAAAAGTGTGTATTCCATCTTTCTAACATTTAGACGCTATCGTCTGTTTTTATAAGATAGGGCTTCAAAAATGTTTGATTACAAATTGTAACTATTTAATTAATAACGTTTCACTATAAAAGTTGAACATAATCTATTTATAGCCCTTCTAATCTAATTTTTTTAGCAGCTGCTAAACCACCTGCATGTAAAAAACACCAGCTAGACGTGAACTCAGGATACCTAATACATGTATGATAAACCTGCTCACATGTCTGCTAAACCTGCTCATGACATGTCTGCTAAACCTGCTCATGACATGTCTGCTAAACCTGCTCATGACATGTCTGCTAAACCTGCTCACGACATGTCTGCTAAACCTGCTCACGACATGTAGGTACGTAATCTAATCTTGACCGGTGTCCTACATATAGGACATGACGTCATGGTGTCAGCGCACGTGATGCAGCAGGCGATGTGTCCGCAGGGAACAAACGCCGCGCATGCGTCGTGTGACAGACAGACTTTACACTGGCTCTGGCCGGCACTGGCGTCGTCTGCTGCTGAGTCCCCAGAGGTCGTTGACCTGTTGCTGTCGACGGCCTCCATCAGCTCAGACGTGGAGGTGAAGGCCCCGAGGCCGTAGGTCAGCCTGACCTCGATGGCTGGCACCAGCAGAGAGAGGTCAGCGCCCTCCTGGACGGCCGCCTGCACCACGGCGCTCTTTAGCACCTGGCTGACGTCATCAGGACTGCACATGACCTGCCGGACAAGGTCAAAAGGTCAAACATGTGACGTCAGTTCTACATGTAGCTTGAGGTCAGGGTGACATAACACCTCTCACAAAAACCTCTCATAAAACACATCTCACACAAAACACCTCTCACACAAAACACATCTCACAAACTCCTTTAATAAAACACCTCTCACAAAACACCTCTCACAAAACACCTCTCACAAAACACCTCTCACAAAACACCTCTCACAAAACACCTCTCACAAAACACCTCTCACAAAACACCTCTCACAAAACACCTCTCACAAAACGCCTCTCACAAAACATTTCTGATCACCCCCTCCCCCCCTCCCCCCACCCCACCCCGCCATGCTCAGATCCCTGACTCACCTTGAGAATGGCGTCAGGGCTAAAGACCTGCGTCACTTTCTCGTAATCCACCAGCACGTCACCGTTGAGAAGAACTGACTCAATGACTCCTATGCGACCTATGAACTGTAATGACGCAGAAAGTTAGTGACTCCAAGAGTCAGTCAAGTCAAGATCTCAACGAGTCATTTTTCTAATAGTCAACACCAAAAATATGTCAGGTTTATAGAGCAAGATTTGTGATGTTTATAAGTTTAATGCAAGATCTTCTTCTATTTTAGAGCGAGATTTGTGGTATTTTACCTGCAAGATTTTTAGTATTTTAAGTGCAAGATTTGTAGTAATGCAAGATTTTTTATATTTTATTGCAAGATTTGTGATATTTTATTGAAAGGTGTGATATTTTGGTGCAAGATTTGTTATACTTTGGTGCAAGATTTGTTATATATTAAAGCACAATGTGTGATGTTTTAGTGCAATATTTGTGATGTTTGAGTGCAAGGTTTGTAATATTCAAGTACCGTATCCGTAACTGACCTTAGAAGCGTCCCCCACCCACCGGAAGCGTGACCCCTGCACCATCATCAGGCTCTCCAGATTGCTGACACACACCACCCTCTCCCCTCTCTTGTAGTAGGGTTCGCAGGGTTTACCTGAAATACCATCACAGTGTCACTATATGGTAAGGGGGGGGGCAATGTAAATGACCTAGGTGATCTGACACCTGTAAATGACCTTGACTACATAAACCTGTAAATGACCTTGACTCCATAAACCTGCAAATGACCTTGACGACCTAACCCACCACCTGTACATGACCTCAACCGACCAAACGACCTTGACCTACCTAAGACCTGCAGATGGTCCCTGTAGTAAAACCCTCCAGCCGCAGGCGTCAGACACTTCAGGTCGACCTTGGCTCTGTGACCCACACGACACACACTGTCCGAGCCGGCTGACCATTGAACTTTGACCCCGCTCCTGTAGGAGCCAGTGGCGTAGTCCCGTACCTCGGTCACGTGACCCTGCCCGCCCTCTCCGCCTGCAACACAAACATTGGCATGGGTTCAAATCCTTGGGAGGGAACAGCAGAAATGTCAGCACAACATACCATCCTCACACCACACACTATAAACACCACACACCATCATCACACCACACACTATAAACACCACACACCATCATTACACCACACACCATCAACACCACACACCATAAACACCACACACCATAAACACCACACA